CATCTTTGATTTTGTGGCTAAATTTGTGCAATTTCCTAGTTCATTTTAGACATTTATGTGACAGATTAGGTAAGTAATTTTCGAGTAGATTGGTAAAAAGTGATTTGTTTTTCCTTACTATCATTTGATTTTTATTTGACATAAATTCAAATTAATAAACAACCAACAAAAGCTCATATATAGGTGTCATGAATAGTAGGAATAACTACATTATAATCCATGAAGAATTTTGGAATTTCCTTTTAAACACACTTTATAAAATATTAATAGAAAATGTTTTATAGAAAATATCCAAGCAATGAATAAACATCTTTAATATATAAATAATTCAATTAATAATATAATGGCAAACAAGAATATTGGGATTTTCTCTAATCTTTTTCTATTAAGGCTTTATTTAATTAACTTACTAAAAGTTGATTACCTCACCCATTTTCATATTCCCATAAATATAGCATACTTTATTCTCTTAAATGTTGGTGAATTTTACTGTTAAGGTATATAATTTGTTAGTGTATAAGGAATTAACTCAACATTTATACTAATGGATGGCAAAGGCTGTCTATTCACAGGCAAACAATAATTGTTAAGAGTTGGTCTTGAAATTTGTCTTGAAAGTAATTTTAAATTTTAGTTTAAAAGTTACTTTTAAAACTTGTGAAGAACTAGTAACACCATTGTTAATAAAATGTTGGTGTACCAAGTTCACCTGGTTACTAGCGTTATTTGTCTTATATTACGTATTGTGGTTGAAATTATTGTACTACAGGTTCACTTGAAATCATTGTACTGTCTGAGTCAAATTGTCCAAGTCGAATTGTCTAATCAGATCAAACTAGCTGGAATCGATCGAGTTGGTCCACCCAAATCAATCCAAGGAGATTTCCTCTACAAATTAAGAGGAGAGGTCTAGGGGGTGATATATGTTATACACAATCCTACTATTTGCTACTCTCAACTGAATCCTTTGTTTGTTTGAGTTAGACATCAAAGTGTGTTGGACTTAACATCACGCCAATGTATAGATCTCTTGTGCTTGCAGAACATTTATCAGTCTATTCAACATTAGAGCTCAGATTCAAATCCTACAACAACATCATGTTTGCACTTGTTAATGATGTAACGGCAAAGACAACTACATAGAAGTGTAATTTAAAATTTAAGAACTCAGATTATTAAAACATTTCAAAGCGTAAGATACAAAATATAGAGAATAAATTTTCTAATTCATTAAAATGATTGTATGATAGACCATAGATTTTAGCAACACAATAACATGGGTTTCCCATGCAAAGAGGAACAATGGGCTGATCAAAGACACAAAATCCCCTATTCAAGATCTACATTACAACATGGGGAGATCTTTTGGTCATTTAAGTTTAATATATAGTTTCCATGAAATTAATTAAAAGAAATAATAATAATGAAAAAAAAGACTATCCAATGTCATGTTCTCATTGAAAAATCTCAAACTTGACATGTGTCAAGATCATGTGGGCTTGTGGTAGAGAGAGAAGATTTTAGTTGGAAGATAATGTTTAAGCACATGATGGTTGGCACCTACCTAAAAAGGAACAAAATGGAGGAATAATAAAATGGAGAGCATAAGATTTGAATTTCATTTGGAGAGGTCTCTTTTGTATTAAAAAAAAATATTACGGAGAACGGTACATCGAGTACCCCACAATGATATGATATTATCCGTTTTAGATATATCTCTCACGAGTTTGTTTTTAGTTCCACTCAGTAGGCCTCATACGAATGGAGATACTTGTCCTATCTTATATACGATCATGTCATTCCCTAGTCAATGTAGAACTTTGTTTGTAATCACCTTATAAATCCAACAGAAAAAAATATATTTGGGAGGATTCTTAATTTTTTTAAATAACCTTTATTATTTTATTATTCATAAAATAGGATAAACTAGATTAAATGGTTAATGATGACTATCATGTATCTTAACACGAGCTCTTGAAATAAAACTACAATGGCACGAGTCATGTGATAGTCACATTAATTTGTTTGAGTTAAATATATTTTTATTCGGAAAGATATAAGGGAGAGGTGTATTCTAAGTGCTATAAAAGAAAAGAGAAATATATGTGATTGTAATAATTTAAGTCATATATATTAATTCAAGTTAATTAAGTAGTATTTTTTTTGTGGGAGTGTTTTTTGTAATTGCGGTCAGGAAGAAAAATCTATGTAATTGTAATAATTTTTCTTTATGGGCCGTGGTTTGTGTACAGTTTAGAGTTTTCCACGTAAATTCTTGTATTTTCTTTATTGCTTTTAATTTCTCAGTTATTTTCTACTTATTGGTGTGTACAAATATTATTCTAAATCTCCGAATGATTGTACTAAAAAAAGATACCTCATTCTAAAAAAATACTTCAATGATTTAAAGACTTTTATCTTTGAAAGTCATAACTCATATAATTGAGTAATCTTCTTAAACATTTCTATCTCCACCATATAACTCTAACTAATTGACTCCTAGATCTAAACATTTTTTTTATCATGCACACAATGAAACTTTGCTATTTTTTCTTTTCTGACTCTAAGTTTAATCGTTGAACTACTCCCATTATTTTGCAAGCTATTCGAATCTCATAAGTGAATATCAACATCTACATAATAATAATAGCAGTTCACAACAATTAAGTTATCTAATTTTCATAATTAAATAAATACATATTTTTAATACCAAATTATATTAAATTGTTATATCAAACGGATAGAGAGAGTAATCTTTAGGGT